ACGCATAGGCGAGCTGAGAGGGAAGAGTTGTTCTCGGATGGTTTGCTTTATTTTTTACGGAATGGCACGAGAAGGATGATTTTTGGTGGTGACTTTAATTGTGTAATCTCAGTCCGGGACTGTAGCACTCGTGCTCAGGCGTCTGTCTCTGCTGCTTTAGTTAGGACGTTGCAATCTATGCACTTCCGTGATACCTGTTTCCTGGCAGGTGGTGTCCCGGCCTATACCTTTGTTAGTAGGGATTATGGCTCTCGCCTTGATCGCGTGTATGTGCACAAATCTTATGGTCAGGTCCGCTCTTGGGCCACTGTTCCGGTCTGCTTTTCGGACCATAGTATGGTGGTGGTGAGCGTTGTTGTCAATGATCAGGTGCGGTTGGGTAGGGGTTGGTGGAAGCTAAATTGTGGTTTGCTTAGATACCCGTTGGTGGTGGAGGAATTTGGTGTGGTGTGGAGAGCGCTAGTGCTGCGGAAAGTTGATTTTGTGTCTTTGCTAGATTGGTGGGACTGGTGCAAGGTGGAGTGCAAACGTTTCTTTGTTCGTTTCTCGAAGCGTCTTGCAGCGGAACGGTATGGTCTTTTGAATTTGTTGCAGCTTTATGGGCTCATGGACCAGGGTTTGGATAGGTATGATGAGATTGTATTGCTGAAGAGACGGACAAATGGGTTGCAGGAGGAGGTGGCTCAGGGTATCCATATCCGTCTATTGACGTCTGAGCGTGTAGAGGGTGAGAAAGTCTCTGCCCACTTATTTGGTAAGGTTAAGTCTCCTAGGTACTCTACCGTTATGACTGGTATTCGCCGTTTAGATGGAACAGTCCTCACTAATACTAATGGGTTGGTGTGTTACGCTCGGGAAGAGTTGGAGGGTTTGTATAGGAAGGTGGAGTGTATGTCGGCTGATTGTGAGCATTTTCTTAGTTTTTGCCAGAATGTGTTGTCTGTTGAGGACAATGTGCCATTACTGAGAGAGTTTACGGATAGGGGGATTTGAGAGGTGGTTCGGGGGTTAGCGAATGGGAAGGCGCCTGGGTCTGATGGGTTACCGGCGGAATTCTATAAGTGTTTATGGGGGGTGATTGGGTCGGACTTCTCAGAGGTGGTGCGGTATAGCCTGAGGCATGGTGTTATTAGTGGGTCACAGTCATTTGGTATTATTCGTCTCCTGCCGAAATCTGGGGTTGTGCAGCTGCTCTCAAATTGGAGACCGTTGTCTCTCCTGAACCAGGATTATAAAATTCTTTCCAAGGTACTGGTGAATAGGCTTCGGTTGGTTTTGGGGAAGTGTATTTCACCGGGACAGTTTTGTAGTGTTCCGGGTACGTCGATTGTCTACTGCAATAATTTGATGAGGGATATGATTTATTATCTTTCGGATAATGTTGTTTCATCGGCCATGGTAAATTTAGATTGGTCCAAGGCTATTGATAGGGTGGATATGAGTTTTGTGTTTCAGGTGATGGAGAGGGTTGTAATTGGGCCGCAGTTTGTCTCTTGGGTCGGAATGCTGTATAGGGGATGCAAAAGTAGTGTTTGTATTAACGGGGTATTGAGTGCCCCCTCTTTCCTTGGGAGGTCGGTCAGGCAAGGTTGCCCCCTTTCTATGATCCTGTTTATTCTGTTTCAGGAACCTCTGTATATGGCTTTGCGGTCCCATCATTCTCTTGTGCCGTCACGTCTCCCGAATGGTTTGCTGGTACCCGTTGTAGGGTATGCGGACGACACGACTGTGTTTGACTCCACAGAGGAGTCAGTTCTTGTGGTGCAGGATGTACTGGCTCGGTTTCATCGGGCGACGGGGGCAGTGCTAAATCGGGAGAAATCTTGTAAGATGGGGCTTGGTGCCTGGGCTTCTCGGCCTTTGTAGGGGGGTTTTTGGTTCCCAGTTGTGGACTCGATTCAGACTCTTGGTATCCGGTGGTGTAAAACGTATGCGATATCCTAGCAGGAGAATTGGGAGGCAGTCTCTAGAAGAGTTTTGGGTTCAATTTCATGTTTGTATGGGAGGAGGTTGACTTTGTTTCAGAAGTGGCTGCTACTTAACTGCAAGGTTCTGTCCAAGTTTGGTACATGGCTCATACCTTTCCGTTGAGTCGGTAGTTTGCATCGGCCATTAATAAGGTTTTTTTCGATACCTGTGGGGTGGGAGGTATTGTCCAGTACGTAGGTCTACGCTTTGTTTGCCAAAATTGCAAGGCGGGATTGGAATGTTCGATGTATACTATAAGGCGTTGGCAATATTTTTTGTCTCGCTTAGGAAGGGGCTCTTGGGGGGGGGGGGGGACGGTGTGTTCTCTCTGGGGTTATATTATTGTACGATGTGTGTAAATTCTCTGTTGAGGTTACCTTTGTGTAGAGAGATTGCGTTTCTATCGCCTCCCTTTTATACTTGTGCAATTGATGTCCTCCAGAGGCTTTGTCGTGTGGAGGGGTTCTTGTTTTTTACGTGTCGGAGGGTGTATGAGGAATTGCTTCCTTTTGTCGCCCCTGCTGTGGAAGACTCGTTTCCTCTTTTTGATTGGATGGTGGTGTGGCAATCGCTCCATTTGAAGTTTCTAGCTCCGTTGCAGAGGGAATTCCTGTACCGGTATTTACACGAGTCGCTTGCGGCTAACGAGCGGCTACTGAGGTTGGGGATTAAGGATAGTGCTGGGTGTGACCTTTGTGGAGGGCTGGAGACTGCGTTTCATGTGTTTTATTTTTGCCCAGGCCGGGCGAGGTTGGTGGATTGGTTGAATAGGACGCTTGTGCGTTTTTGCGGGTCAGTGTACCGTATTTTCCCTTTACGTTTATTGATGTTTGATGTTCAGGCTCCTTGTAGGAGGGTCCGCAATATTGTGCTTTTGGTTCTATCGGATTATCTTTATTGTGTGTGGGTTGGGAGGTGGGAGGGGTATACAGTGGATTGAATGTTGGGGTTTTTGGAAGGTCGGTTACGTTACTCGAAATGGGAATTACGTTGGTTGCTTGGGGAAGGGTTGGGGGACCATTTTACTGATACTTATGTGCGTTATGGGTAGTATATGACGTGTTTTCTTTTGGGGGGGGGGGGGGTACTGGGATTGTAGTTTGCTTTCGTTTTGTGGGTTTGATGGACTCTGGGCTCCGTAGGTCGGTTGCCATGTGTCTTGGGTTTTCCTGGGGTTCAGGGACGTTGCTGGGTTATCAATTTGGTTTTTTCCTGCTTTGTGTGTGTCGTTCTGGTTTTGTTGGGCCTCTGTTTTTTTTCCTCCTCCTGAGGTGTTTGTACGTTTGTACTATACTCTTCAGGTGGCGGCTGTTAGTGTTCTGGGTTCCGTTTTGTTTTGACGTTGGTTGTTGGCATGCTGTCAATGTGTAATGTTTAGCTGTGGGATTAATCTCCATTTGTGCGAGTGTGTGTGTGCGCGCTGGGTTTGCACGCGACATGACCAGTTGTCCGTGTGTCTTCCTTTCTTCTTGTGATGGGTTTGTGGGACGGCACTGTATGTGTCACTGCATAGCACTATGATGGTATTGTGACTGGGGTACCATACGGATGTTTGTGGTGCTATGATTTGAGACAGTTTGGTGTGTATGAGTTTGTTTGAGGTATGGTTTCCTGGATTCCTTCCATGACCTGTCCCCATGATGTGCTTCCCTGTTTTCCCAGTTTCTGGGTGGTACAGTACGTTAATCGTAACTACCTCGCAAGAGAGGCAGACCTTAAACAGCAAGAGCTGCCAGTGGCAGATATTTAATCTTAAAGCCTAAGATCATAGGAGCGCGGGAGCAAACCGCCAGGCGAAACCACACGGGTAACACCTGTCACTTAGGTCGCTGGCTCCTCCTAGTTAACAACTAATAAAGGGTAGCCGACGGATTCTCACTTCTTATTTATAGAAGTGTGGTGCTGTGCAATGGACTCGAGCTTTAGATACAGACTTGATATGAACATAAGCAGGCAAAGCATTGCAGATCATAAAATGTGGGGCAGTAATATTGGAAGGTTTGACGTAAACGACCGTTTTCTACAACAAAACAATTTATTCACGAAACAAGAACTAAAACTACTACACAGTGAATTTACGTTACTTTACTGTCACTCCAGTGGCACATTCAAGAAGAGCTAATCAACAGCCTGATGGACCCACGGTCTCCTTATCCCGTCGTCGCTGACTGAACAATGACACTAACTGAACACAGTGGTGCCCACTGGTGACGCAAGCTTGCAATCAATATTTTTTTTTTATTTATATTTTTACATGCAAGCATGCGATTTAAATTACAATAAAACATAAAATTATAAACATAACAGAACAAAACAAGAAACCGCCGGCCAGAAGGACCGACAGAACAACAAGTACCAAAACTGGAAAGAGTACAGGAAATGCAGAATAAATACACAAAAGGTTACAAAATAGAGAACAAAACAGAAAACAATCACAAACAAGCATGCAATGCAAGCAAAACAAGAACATAGCAACAAGTTAAAACATTTTAGCAGTATGAAACAAAACAGAAGCGCCGGCCTGAAGGACCGACAACAAAGCACAACAGTATGAACAAATTGAAATATAATAAAAAAGACAATAAAATAGCACACCACACAACCAGCCAATAATAAACAAAAAAAATATAAAAAAAAGATACAAATAAAAGACAAACACAACACATAAGCATAAAATAAAATACATAGGGCACGGTAATAACAAAAAATAAATATATGAAGACTAACACACACACCAAGCCACCCGCCTCGCCACAAACAAAGGGAGAGGCACGGGCACAAACTACCGAAAGGCAAACAAACAGCCAGAAGGGCACACAGCACAAAAGTAGAAAATCATCAGACATAATTGCCCTGAAACACGTCCCGAGGGAATCGTACATGGAACGCCTCCCATCGCAACCACTGCCAAGGGCCCTGACCATCCACCGGGGACGTCATATGATCTGGGACATTGGCCACAAACACCCTCAAACAGGGCACCCATATGGTATCACTCCTGACCCGAGTGACCGGCACACGCTCCCACACCAATGGAACTGCCCCACCTTGAAAGTCCAGTGCCTCCTCGCAGATCGGTAACAGAGCAATCCGTGCCCAGTGACCCAACGGCATCACAGACTCCGGTAACACAGTCCCCCAAGTCCCCAACGGACATCCTCAGAGGAGGGAGCCGGACAGAAGGCACCATCACAGGGGCACCAGCGTTCACGGGCACACCACTGGACGACTGCCGGGATACCGAACTGCGCACATCCTTCCGCAAGGTCACCACCAGGCCACGCCCAACCCCTTCATCCCCACCATCCCTGGCAGCGGCCACCACGCCCCACCGCAGAGAGGCCCCTGATGGAGAAGAAACATCAGGCACACCCGAGACACAGGCACCAACGTCAGCAGACACATGGACTTCCGCCACCACTAACTGCGGAGCCAGCGACGCATCCGGAACCTCTCCATCCACACCCGAAGACGCACAGTCACTAAATTCCCCAACATCAGCCCAGGCAGACGACGAACGCTGGGAACGTTTGGGCACCGGCCTGAGATCGTCAGAGCCGGAAGCTGACTCAGAAACACGGGCCCCACTAGCCGGACGAACTGACGCCCGCTGCAGAACAGCAGCAGCCTCGACCACAGGGGGAACCGGACCACACACATCAGGGGCCCCCACAGCCACCCCAGCACCCAGCACAGCCGGGACCCGAGGCGAGGATGCAGGGCCAGGCGCAGCAGCTGAAGTCGGGTGTGCACACGGCGATGCCTCACAGGGAGCAACAGGAAGGTCCACGGGAGCAACAGCGACAGGAGCAGGAGTAGCATCCGACGGCACCGCAACATCCGGAGGAGGGTCGATGACAACCGGGGGAACATCGGGCGACGCAGAGGGAGCCTCAGCAACGAAAGGGACGCTCACCTCCTCACCCCCGGAGTCCTCGTCCAGAGGGAGCGGCGGGAAATCCTCTTCCCAGAACAAGTTGACTTGAGCAACCGGGGCCGCATCGCACCCGGCAGCCTGATGCCCCAACAGGCCACACCGGAAACAGGTACGAGGCTGCCGGGCATACTATACCCGGACGTAGTACCCCAGAAGCCGGACCGAAGATGGAATTTCCGACCGCAGGCGCATCCCCAAGGTGCGAACGTTCGTCCGCCTACCTGCATACCTCCCAGAGGAGAGCGTGTTGACCCTCACACTGATGACCGCTCCAAACCGCTGAAAGTAACGCCGGAGAACGTCCTCGGGAAACTCCAGGGGCGCCCCATGCACACTGACATACGTCAGTGCACCACTACGGTCCGAGATGGATACAGAGCCGGCACCACCCGGCAGCGACAACGAACGTCCCTCGTAACGACGGAGTAAATCACGGTACACCTCCTCCGACACGAACTTGATGACAACCCGGTGTGCTGTTACAAGCTCAATACCGTAAACGGCCATCACAGGGACACGGAGCATGTCGCACATGACCATTTCAATAGCCGCATATCCAGCACGACCAGTGAACTCCAGGCCCACGGAGGAAGGGCTTAACAGGAGGAAGGGGACCACTCATAGCAAGCTCGCCACGTCAGCACGCAGCCAGCAACAACAGCAGGGGGGGGGGGGAAGAGACGCCCACACCCCCTGGCGACGAAGACAGCGTACACCCCAAACTACCAGCGGCCAGACGACACGTCTGTACCCCACGGCAGCGCCAGGTGGACTCATCTTGCAATCAATATTGTCACGGCTTCCCGGTGATCAAATACTATAATCACAAAAACTTGACTGGCACTCGCTGCCCTCAACGAGGTACGAAGTAACAAGGCGGTTAATCCAAGAATGATAACCCCTTATAAAAATCTTATGTTAACACTTGTCTCTCAGGACAATCAAAAACAAAAGTTACTCTAATTGAATTTAAACAATTACGTTAACACACACGTGTCTCAACGACACTTAAATGGCAGTAATAACTCGTAAGTCAATTAATTACATCAACTTGAAAGTCAAGCATTCGGTGAGTAATTCCCAATTAATTATTGAATACAACAGCCTATTAATTCAGACGAGTATTGATAAAGCCTACTGTCTCTCAACTGACATTTCTCTTCCGGTCTTACGACAAGATTACCTTAACGAGGGTAGACTACTGTACCACACAAGATTACAACACTCCGTGTAAACAACAACATCAACACCTGGTGAATTCACTAAGTGGCGGTTACTAATTATCTTTAATTAGCTACGAGTGCTTAATCACTCTGTCCGCAGACAGATCTGATCAGTCCAACGAATTACAGCAGCTTAATTACAGCGCAATTGACTCCGATCATAACAGACCGTCAACCCCTTACGTTAATCACTCAATTAACGACAGCTCGTTAAATCGTTAACACTACGTTAGTCTTCACTTGACAATTCCTCCACTGCGTGAACTTCACTGTGACTGTTGCCTTTACACGTCCCTACGTTAACCACAACAATGTTCAACGAACGAGTGACCTCGTTAAGTAAATCGTGACCCCCGGTGACGTTAACTGACTTTAATTCTCACGGAATCCTTCACAGTACACAACGCCTTCCACCAAGGTCAAACTTGTCTATGGTTTACACACGGTACAACACAGTACAACACAGTACATCCTTGCCACTCACGGCAAAACTTGTAAATGACTTTCCCCAGTAAATTATCCACCAATAATTCACACTTTACCACAACACAACAGTAAAATTTATAACCAAGGGAAATCTCCCTGTTACCACTTTCACTACTGAAAAAAGGGGATCAAATTACAGCGAATACATACGCGGTACATAGAAAAAATAGAAGCAAATAACTCACGTTACTCTATCTCTGAATGTGTCACTAGGTGTCTTCACACACGTCAAAAATCACAGTTGGGCCCAACCTCAACTTGATGACGGCAACCAGGGTAGACTCACACGTCTCCAATTCCCATTCACCTCACCAGGTGGTCACAGGGACAGAGGACAGACGGAACACTGGGGGCAAACCCAGCTTCAGAGTTTTATTACCCAAACGGAAACAGTGTACTTACATCAATCATGCGGGCCCGCAACCTTCTCGCACTCACATATACACGTCAATCACACTCCCACTGCTGCTGCGGGATGATGACGTAGGCGTCCTCACTTCCTACACGTGGTCAGGTGGAGCACAGGGTCCTAGACCACGGGGTTAGCTCCACACACAGAGACCAGGGTGGCGCGACACACCGGCTTAGGCAGGCCAGGGTGAGTGCACAACAGCAGGGATGCAGTACCACGCCCCTTCCACTTGACACGGTACCCCAGGATACGACGGTACACGGTGTTACATGGTACATGAGACCCGAGACGGAGTCCTTCACTGTTCCTCAGAATTAGAACTTTTAAGGTTTCTCTCATAACACTGAAACCTTCTCTAGCACGTCTCACAGCAGTACCTTCAAACACAGATACGATAGACGGCGGATGACACTTTCGTAGCCCGATAATTAATGCCTCACTCAATCCAGTTGCTCTAAGATGGCGTCCCACAATTACGCGGCTAGATGACAAGTTCACACGGTTCGGTACAAGCCCCTTTCCGATTACCGGATTCTTACGCACGGCACACGGAAAGATAGCAAGATGATAGGCGTGACTTTAGTAACGTTGCAGGCGGTATTTCCCGATGCTTGGCCTAAGCACGGGAAATTACGTCCTCTGTCAGCAACGTCCTAGGTAAGAATGTCTTTTCCCGCCAACACTATGCCTGGGGTACCATGCGGTACCCCTCAGCGTCTTGGCCAATCATGGTTCAGCATTCCTGAGGCCCAGGCACCCTTAGCCAATGGCGTACCTGCCTTATGACGCTACCCCCTCTCTCATGAGGTGGACACGTGATAGGGAGGGGGGGGTCTACGGCCGTTAACCTCCCATACCTCCCTCTCTACACTTGACTTGTACAAAATTTCCCTGAAATCAACTCCCTCCTGTAATTTCCTTCACAGACCTGATACAGCGATCAGAATGACATCAATGGCTAGTAAATGTCATGGGCTGTCCAACGACACCCAACACGCCTGTGTAAAAGTTATATTCAGAAAGTAGAATCACAGTGCACATCACTGGTGCACTATGCAATTTCGTACTTAATTCAGTGCACGAGAGAGCAGGAAAAATATGTCTCCTGACAACAGGTACTAATGTGTATATGTGTATTTTAAGGGGTGCTGTGTCCCCCTGTTACATTGTCTCCGGTTGAGGGGACTTTGTTATATAGTTAACTAGTTTTATCTACTGGTTTTATTAATGCTTTCTCCGGGTTCGGAGTGTAATGTGTATTTCATTTTGGATTCTTGGGTCCTTTTTATTATGCCCTGCCATAGTACATATGTGGCCTTTGACATAACATGTGTTCTGTTTTCCTTGGGTGGGTACCTTCTCATTTGTGCATTTCTTCTGTTACCTTTATACTATTCGTGTCCTAGGTTTGGGTGGTGTGAGATAGCTCTGTATTTGCTAGGGTTTGAATGTATATTTATTTAATGACTTTATATAGAAAAGGAAAACAAAACTATATGCGTATGAATATATATATGTATGTGTATATATATGTTTGTGTTGGCTGTTGCGTGTTGTAACTGAACTGTGTGCTTTAAAACTGAGTAATTTGCTTTGTATTCGTTTACGCTGTATTACATTGTTAATTTATTACTGTCATTTTTGTATATTGCTTTTCTTTCTTTTATGCATTTTTTGTATGTTGTTATAGATTAAGCTACTTGGAACAAGTTCCAAGTAGCACGGGCTATGGTGAGCCCGTAACTAACCTGGCACAGGAGCGGGGCAAGAAGCATGGGCTATGGTTAGCCTCGTGGACGGGAGATGTCTCCCGTGCATTTTTTGTAATTGGTCTTTGTTTTTGTATTATGTGTCTGGCCTTTTGGTCTGTATGCCTTAGGTGTGTTGTTTAGTGGGGCGTTTTGGGAAATGTTTTCATTGGGTAAAATGCTACTAATGTTTTCAAGTGTTTTATGGGTTTTGTTCATGGCTAAGTGGATGGATATATGCTTTCCCCTTGTGTTGTGTTCATTTATGTTCCCCATCATACGCCTTTATTCGTCAGTACTGTAATTTTCCTTCTGTGCTGAGGGATGGGTAGTTTAATCACCTGTTTTGTGTTGATTGTTTAAATTTTATTATGAGCCATGTGTGTGCTATCCAACTCACTGTGTAATAGTGCTTTGGTAACTGTTTTTATATTGTATTTATGTGTTTTATAAATAAAAGAAAAAAAAGAT